AGGTATGAATGAATATTGAGAAGTACATTTTTAATGATGTTGTAGGGTTCTCATACTTTTTGTCTAAGAAGAACGTCACGAAAACTAGTGAACTATCTGGCGACTTATCTCTGAGTTCAAACAACTAAAGACGTATAGACTCGAGAAGGGTTAGAATACCCTTTTTTCACTCAAAATAAGAATAACTGTCGGCCCGTTCTCGGGCTTACAGGAAGCCTCTACTTGAGGTTTAATTAAGACTAAGAGATAATAAACTAAAGTATAATTAACTAAAACGAGACTTAGCCGAAGCTAAGTACAATTATCTAACATAGTTGGCCCTTAAATTAATCTAGCCGGAGAATATCAAAAAGGCATGCAATATACGGCCGAGCGTAAAGCTTCAAGAGTGACTTAGCCCGAAGGTAAACACGCGTTATTCAGGATTCCTAGCACTCACTCTCGAAGTTTCTTTTTTTCGCAATGGCAGACACTTGCCTATAGCGACACTGGCCATTCCTAAAGTCAGAAGTAGTGGCCATTTCATTGTGGAGGCACCGTTACCTCTTATGAAGACGGCCACCGTTACCTCCTATGAAGATGACCACCGTTGCCTCCTATGAAGGGACAGACAATTTAACATTCATGCCTTCTCCGTAAATCTAAGCTGGGCATTTCGGTATCGCAGTCAGGCTCCCCTAACCACATGGTTGACTCCCGCCGAATTGGTAACCAATTCTGCATGGATATATCTATACCTGGGTCGAAAACCAACTCCGCGGTTTACCTCCCCTAACCGCTGTAATGTCTGGGCGGCCTCTCTATTGAAGTTAGTTGAACGTTCCTGAAATGTTTCTTCTAACTCATCTCTATTCAGCACGATTCTAAAAACTCATTATTGGTAGGGAATGGAGTAGGGAAATGGATTGGTAAGAAAGAGGTTTGAAATGAAAATATCTGTTATAAAGTTAAAATATATCTTACAATGTTAAGAAAAATTGCTAAATAGTAATTAAGGAATTTTGTTTGTAAGGATCCTTTAAGAGAGGATGAAGAATCGTATGTTCTTTAGGTAGTCCATATAGCATTTTTTTTTGAGTACCATATGCATATTTGCAAATTTTGTTAACACATAATCAATATTAAAATTGAAACTGCATTTAAAAGCCGTTCGAATAATATATTACGTACTTTCATTTAATATGTAATCTAGTTTGAACAGTGTTCTAATATTAAGAAAAACGAGCATCCAGATATAACTAAAATTATTCAATTACCTCAAAGCTTTTACCTAAATGTAAAAACTGCGGTGGAATCTCGAGTGTTTTAGTGAGACACTCTTAAATCCCAAATGTGAGTACATTAACTCCTCCCGAGTATTCATGAAATAGAACCATTTCTAGTACATGATACGACCCGAGGCGCTACGTAAAAGACTAGCAAAGAAAGACCTAAAAAGCCATTAAGCTCGGCTTGTTCAAGCTGGAAAACCTGCCTCGGGTCTCCTATTAAAGCCCTAGAAATAGAAGCCCTATAAAATTCGAGTCGAAACTGACTTTTTCCTGTATTCGGTGAAGAAGAGCGTCCTTTCGTCATAAGGTACGCGAAATAGCCTTTTCCTTTACGCGATAAACTCTGAGAATGTCTGATATTCGAACCGAAGTTTCAGTAATGAAGTCTCGTGGGTGGCTTGTGAGAGGGGAGAGCGTAATAGGGTGGGCGAGAATTGATGATCCAGAAGGTTATGGGGTAAGGGGAAAAGGTTCCGGTTTTATGAGTGGGGTTCTAAAACGTTCGGAAAAATGAAAATGGCTCAAGAAATGTAAGTGGTGTCAGAAAATGTGTCGTGGTCGTAAAATGAAAGCATGACATTTTCCAGATAGTTGACTTTACGACAGTATTTTCGGTTTTACATGAAGCCTCTTGTTTAATAGATAGAGAAATATGCCGAACTTTTCAAGTAGAAGGTGTTGGATTAACTTCGTGGCTTTCACATATAAAGTAGCATAAAATTTTAACAAACAGAATGTAAATAAAAGAAGTTGATAGAGAAAGTTTGGTATATTTTATACTGGGTGCTTAACCGTCACCCATTGCTTAACCCTCGAACCATCAACAAGAGAAAATGTAGTTTCAAACAACGGAAGCTGCATGTAAATTTTCAGAAAGGGAAGTTGCTTTGAAATTATTCGGCGAATACAGAAATGCATTTTCTACACAATCTTTATTACATATATTATATAAAATGTAGCATAAAAACGTTAATTGTAGAATGCAAAATGTGCATTTTTACTTCCTTGTACGAAGTAAAGGAAATATTGTAATCGCTAAAAATTTCGCGTATCTTATTTTAACGAAAATATCCATTTTCGTTGAAATATGATACCTGAAATTTTCTTCCGGTTTTTTTTGGGGAGGGGCTTTTATTTGTTTTTTGCATATGCTTATTCTGAATTGAAAATGGGATGAATTTTAAGTCTTATTTATTTATTTTAGGTATTATATATGATATATTATCACCACACAGATATTTTATATACATATTATAATATTTTATATAAAGCAAATATTTTATATCACCACTAATTTTCGTGTGGTAATATTTATACCACTTTTGTGTCGTGATTTAAAGATATATCAGTTATATTACTTTTGCGTGGTGTCCACTCTTTTGCACCATTTCCTTTTGGTTCCCACTTTGTTACAGTATTTGCAAATTGTGTTTGACGTTGCTTTTAATTTAAATTTAATTTCAAATTATTCCCGTGTAATTATTGCAGCTTTCAATGCGTAATTTAACTTCCGGTTTGTTTTGAACATATTATTTTCTACTTTAATTATATAAAGAGTGGTTGTAATAGTGACCCTATTCAGACCCCTCCTGAACCTGTTCTACTTAATAAATTTTGATGGAATTTGGTATGCATGTTATATGGAGCATGGGGTAACTATTTTAGCAATAAAAATAGTTCAAATTTTGATAACCAGGTGTAATTGTGGCGCCTAAAGGAGGACAAAATATCTGTCAGAATCATTAAAATTTATTGTTACAGAATATGTTCAATATGTGCTCCATTGACATCAATTACGTATTGAAAGCGCGTTATAGCATGCTCAATGATAGCGCCAAGTAACTCTTCGAGGGATTTCATCAAGATGGCGTGAAATCCTGGCTTTCAACTCTAGTAAAATCCTAATTCCTCCTCCATATAAACACGGTCTTTTAGGAATCCCCACAACCAGAAATGGCAGGATTTAAGTCAGGTGAACGAAGAGCCCAGGCATCCGGAAAAGTTCTGGATATTACACGGTTCTTCGCAAAGTTAGAGCAAAGCAATTCTTTGAGTTGGAAGCCAATGTGGGGAGTTGCTCCATCTTGCATGAAGACAGTGGTCTGCAAACATTGTAGTTCCTGTAAAGCAGGAATGACTTGCTGTCGAAGGAGCTCACTGTACCTTGCTCTCGTGACAGAGCACGTTTTAGGACCACGATGAGTGACAGTTTCAAAGCAAAAGGGTCCGAGGATAAAATCATGAGTAAATCCACATCATGCAGTCACATAATCAAAATGCAGCGGTTGTTGGTGCAGGACATTAGAAGGTGAATCACCCCATATGTGGCAATTTTGATTATTCACAGTTCCCGCTAATGAAAAGTCCGCCGCATCTGACCATAGAATTTTCCAAGGCCACACATCATCAATATCCATTCTCGCCAAAACTCAGCAAGCAAATTCAGAACGTGTTTGCTGGTCATGAGGTTGCAGTATTTGCACCAAGTGGATTTTATAGGGATGCCATTTTTAAATAGTTCGCAGAATGTTTCGTACTTATCGACCAAGGCATCGCCAACTCACGTGACACCGAACGAGCACTTGTTCAAGCGGGAATTACAGGCTCTTTCAACCACAGCAATAGCGATTTTCTTCGACAGTTTCATTCGCAAACAGATTCCGCCCTCTTCCTGGCAGCACACCCAAATCTCCAGTCTCTTCAAATTTCATAATCATCCTTCCAAACCATTCTTTGACATGGGCCCTTTCCGCAATCCCATTAAAAGGCGATATTCACGTATTGCAGCTAAACTCTTGCTGCCATCCTGATAAAACAGCTTTACGAGTAAAGCTTGATCTTTCTTCTGTAAGGGCATGATTAACGATGACAAAGGCACGCAGAATGATTTTCTGGCTTTGACTGCAAGTCTCTTTTATTGGTTTGAATAATTTGCATAAGTAATTTTTGAAATTGGCATCTGGTGGTCAAAATTTGAAATATTTTTTAATTGCAGAAATTTTTTCCCTACAGTCCATATAACGTATATACCAAATTTCATAAAAATCCGATAAGCAGAACGGGTTCTACAGGGGTCTGAATAGGGTCACTTATTTTATAACCCTCTGTATATATATATGTGACATTTTGGCAGTCGAGCACATGAATGACGAAGCTTGCCATCAGAGTTCGGGCATTGTTTGGCTGAGTGGAATATAGCAAAAATGATGACACAGAAGGATTTCACTTTTTACTATTCCATATCTTTATTTCAATTTTCACCGCAGATTATTTTTACTTTAGATGAAATTCTCCAAATTACATATTCAACAGTGATTTAAATTAAGTACGATTAAATGTAGACTTTTTGCGTCATAACTATTCTAACAAAGGAAAGATGGATTAAGCAGCAGCGAAGTGTTGTAGCGCAGGAGGAGAGAAGAAATCTGATGCAAAATGGCGCGACTGCATTATTTATAGAAGCTGTTACGTAATAGGCTCGAATGCTCTCGAAAATACTGGTCTAGGGAAAGATCCTGAAATTGCGGAAAGTTAATTGAAGGTTGCTTGTTCGCGTAGAGCAAAGCCGTCGTATTTTTTTATAATTTACATATATATATTTATACTCGCGCATATTTTTTATTATATCATAAATTGATTGAACAGTCATATTTATAATATTAAAGGTAAGAAACTATTATTTTACCCAACCAATTCAATATTATATATGAGAAAGCAAAAATTATTTACCTTCTTCTTTAGTCGTGACAGTAATTGGTTCACTTGGTTTGCTTTGTCCAAGGGAATTTTCTGCCAAAATTCGAATATTGTAAGTTGTTACAGGCATCAAGTCACCAATCAACGTACTGCTTTCCGTTACTGGAACAGTTAAACTCTTCGTTTGTTCCAACCATTGTTCTGGAATTAAAAAATGCTTTAAATGCTGCTCATACTTACGAAATGCATCATTATTTTTTCAGCTTATAATAACAGAAGAAATTCAAGAAACAATAAAAACATCAGTGCGGAAGTTTTGTGGGAAGTACAACACTTCATCCTATCTGAATTATACAGGATTTTTATTTACGACGTACAGTTAAATCAGTGTACAAGTATGATATCTGTATTTAAATGTATTCACATTACATACAGTACCCATATTTTGTATTTATGTAAAATTTTTGATAAAAACTTCCGTCGCTGTCATAATCAGTGAAATTTGTTTATAGTGTTACATATCACATGCTTTCGTATAAAGTAATATCTTGCCTGCAATCTAACATGTTTTTGACTCTGCGCAAAAACGCCATTCTCTGTTTCGAACCCATGTACTGTGAATGATATAAGTATGGAATGAGATGGGACAGAAGGATTTAGATTTATTTTTAAACTGAACTTAAAACTGTAGAGGCCGAAAATTAATATTCCGTTTTCAAGGATAGAAAAAACAGATTCTGTTTAATTTAGAAATCAAACAACAAAAGTCAGTGTTATATTTTAAAATTTTCACAGGGCTAGTTTCGATGGTTTTATCGAACCATCATCCTCAGCTTCAAAAACTCAAATGAACGAGAATGATTAGATAAGAAAGTTTGGACAGGAGATAGGCCACTGGCGCCATCTGTTGATGAAACCAGAACTAAAACATAATTTCTTTAAAGGTCGAAGGCAAAGATGGATTGGAATTAGGATCGTTAATTAGAACAAAAAGATTTTTTTGAATGTGAAGGGCCTCTAGAAAATCCAGTTCCCCAATAAAATATATTTTTTGAATAATTTTTGCAGCAGAAAAATTGAAAGTGTGATTTTCGGACCAACAATGTTGGGCAACAGAAAACTTCTGTGTTTCCTTTTTTCTAACATATGCCTCATTTTCCTTAAAGCGAAATTTTAAGGTTCTCTTAGTTTGGCCAATCTAAATGAAACCACACCGGCAAGGAATCCTGTAAATACCCCAGGAATTCATATCCGGAATGGAGTCCTTGAGTATGGAAGTTGGAATTTTATTGATGGGAGAATAAACGACCCGAAAGTTAAATTTCTGCAAAATACGTGCAACTTTATAGCTAAGTGATGGAAAGAAGAAACATAAATTTTATAATCTCCTAAAACAAGAGTGTGCCTTTTGGTGTGTTAAGATGAAACTTTTTTAACTGTTTGATTAATAATGTTGGGTGAAAAGCCCCTGTCAATAGCTATTGCTTTTAAATAGTTTAGTTCTTCATCAAGGGCTATCGAAAATAACCAAAAGCTGTCTTAAGCAACCAGAATGGAATCTGGTTCCCAACATTTAGTTTACTTTCTGGTCATGTCTAATAATCTGATGTACTCTCAAATTCATTTTTTTCTGGCATGTCTCAAAAACCTGATAGCATTCTTAGATAATTTTTTAACTTACTTTAAGAGCATACTTCTATTAAAAAGTTTCAAAATTATATTTTTATTCTCAGAGCATTACTCTTTATTGAAAATCATCGCGGTCAAAAATGATATTAAGTAGGAAAGGAATAATTTTAAAAAAATGTCTTTAAGAAATGTTTTGCACATTTTCTATAGTAATTCCTTATATATATATATATATATATATATACAGCCATTCCAGTTCGCCTTAAATATTTCCAGAACATTCTATAACGGTACGTGTAGAAAAGGCGGGAAAAAACAACTTGACTACAGTACTGTGGATTTAATTCCACGTTCCTTCAAATAAGACATCGTCGCCATTAAAAATGAAAATAACATACAGTTAGAAAGTGTATTCTTGACGTGGAATTAAATCCACAGTACCGTAGTCAATTTGTTTTTTCCCGCCTTTTCTACACGTACCGTTATAGAATGTTCTGGAAATATTTAAGGCGAACTGGAATGGCTGCTGACGAGGCTGAAGTCATTTCTTGGAAGCTCCGCCTTTCCAGAGGCTATAAAAGGACTCGCAAAGGAATATCGAGGTTTTTTTTCTTTAATGTAACGATGCAGTAAACTTCATACAAAAAGTTATTAGTAGTTTTTTTTTATTTACTCCGGAGATCTGATTTTTTTGTAATTGCTATTTCTCCTGAATAATAATAAATTGATCCTGTTTTTTAAATTTATCGTCTGATACTTAGAGCATTCGACTACATCTATGATTCTTCACCAATCTATTTATTCCGGTCAAAAGCTGGTACAACACATATATATTGTTACGAATTTTGTATTTAGATAGCTAATTTTAGTAGATTTAGAATAAAAACTCTTATGTGTCCTATTGCAATGCAGCGCGAGACAAATTTTAAGAGAAAGCTATGCCGTAAAAGTAAAAAACACAGAAGCACACGCATTTACCATTGAGTAAATGGATATCTCGGCAATTTATATTGAAACTGAATAAACGTAATTGAACACTGTGTTAGCTGTAACCATAATATAGAAAGAACTGATAAGTACCAATAATACAATAAAGTTTACATGAAAATGCATTCATATGCATAAATTCATAAAATCCTCACAGAATGTATAGCTTGCTACTTGCATACGTTACATCGCTTGTAACCAAGAATCCTCACAGAATGCATTGGAAATTTATATAGGTGAAGGATAAGTACTTAAATTCACGTTAAAAAAATCGATGCTAAAGCAAAAAATCTGAAAGCTTTCAGATTTTATATTACGCCCAAAGGGTCGTTTTTAACGTTTTGTGTGTTACTTTTATTTATTAAATATTATGTTATTCACATTTAAACCATAAATTCATTTCAACAGCAATATCGCGAAATAATTTTAAAATGAGCCTATCATTAGAATTCCTGGTACAGAGTCTTGCGCGCTGGAGATAAAAATGTTTTATTTTCCGAGCAGTTTTGCCATCTATTGCTTTGAAATCGTTGAATTGTTAATAAAAAACTCTTTAATATCTGACAAAATATGAAATAGCTAATAAAACAAATTCCCAGTTCCAAATTAGAGCTTCCAGATGCCCATATTCGGTGGAGGATTACGTTATTCAAAATTTTATAGCTCTAAGTACCGTTCTTTTATCACAGTGCGAGAAAAATACATACATTTATGCAGACTCTTCAATATTTAATTTCTTTAAATATAATACAGGGCTGTTATATTTGGTGGAACAGTTTAAAAAATGAATTAAAGAAAAAAAAAAAAAAAACCAAAACGAAATTGATAATCCTTCTGGGCTAATGCCCTTTGAACTAATTATTAGGATTGACTAATTATTAGCCCTTTGGATTAATTATTAGCAGTCAAAAGGTGTAAGTTGTATCTAATTGCAGGTCTCTAAGTCTATAGTCTCAAAACAAATTATACACTAGGCTTAAAATTTCTCCGTTGATTTACCCAGGATATTATTTAATGTCTAAAGTTTTAAATACAATAATTGAGACTAACCCGAATCCATTCAAAATTAAAATATTACCGTTTAATTAGATATCGTAATAAGATTCGCTGTAGTTTATTCTAATTTTTCTACAGCTTAAAAATCTTTTCGGCCAAACTCAATTCCTCAGAAATGTAAATATAATTGTCATTCATTTTTGAGTTATTTTCATTTGAACTAACCGTAGGATATATTGAATAACAACCCTTTTCAATAATTATTTTAAAAATCACTTGAGGAAATTCCAATATTAAGCTTAATGAACACTTTTTCAAAATTATTAACTCATGATTTTACTTAAACCCAAATAACGTAATTACGCATTATGTTAAGGATTAAGTTGCGAAATGAAATTATGTCCCAGACGTGCTTAAAAAGCTCAGAATTGAAGCGTAGTGTTTGTTAGAATAAGATTAAACGAATGAAGGAATTGCATTTCTCAGTGAATAAGCTTTTGGTACATTTGGAATCATAAGACAACAAAAATTTCTTAACAGGAAATTCTGGATAATGCTTTCATATATCAGAATAAACAACGAAATAGTTTTCTTTGTATGCGCATTTTAGGGAGAGACAGACAGAGAAAGATATTAAAATTCACCAACCCATCAAAGAGCAGTACCTTCAAAAATAACTTTATTTCAAAATATCTAACTCTGAATAGAGGATTAAAATTGACAAAACTAATGAAACTTTTATAAATTTGAGGATAAAAAAAGTAATCAGCCGAGGAGATGTGGAACAAAATGAATAAAGAGTGTTTTTATTCATTCTGTTTCAGTTCGATAAAATCCCTTAATTTGCCTTCAAGCGTAAAAGTAAATGCATTGCATAAAAGTGAATTGCAAGATTAAAATGAATTCGCCATTGCTTCCATTTTCTGATAGTTTCATAACCGAATGAGAAAAATACCTGCTGTAAGTGACATTTACTGAATGGGGTAAAGTTCTTAGAAAAACGCTGCGGGTTGTAGGGGAATAATGCGTCTGCAAAATAATATATTGACATTGTATTCGCAGAAAAAGAAAACAACATAAGAAATTGAATGTTATTTTGAAATATGATTAACGTGAATCATCATTTTCCTTAGATGGTTAGCTAAGCACCTAACTGTGCTGAATTTAGAATCGTTTGGGCCATTTTGCAGGTTATGCTACATTATAAAAAAATAATTTCATTAAAAAATATACGTAAGCATTAGAGCCAAATACAGTTTGGGGAAAATGGTGAACAACTGCTTTGAAAGAAAACTTGCTTCAATTTACACATGATAATAAAAAGTCGTTGCTAAACTTAACATGCTGGCCTGTCATAGCAGGACATACCAGATTTACATAGCAACTTGTGTCCAAAAATGCGGAAGGCGATCGCTAGAGGGCAATGTTCGCAAGCGTATTAGAGGGGAAGAAAGAAATGATGCCGAAAGAGGTGTTAATACGACTTTTATTAAGGCACATGATTAAATCACAGAAGATGCTCAAAATTCGCTACATGCTTCACAACGCCGACGCATGGATTCACGCGCCCGTCCGAAACGGATAGGTGTGTTTCGGACACGTGGCCGCTGCTTCCACAATCCTGGCAACGAGATCCAGGTGCAATGTTCCTGTAGTCTCGTACACCATCGACTTCACATAACTCTTAAGTTAGAAATCTAGGGGTGTGGTCACGATGGCCATGCGACTGGTTCACCTTTGCCAATCAGGTTATGCCCTATCGAGGTATTCCCGCACAGTGCTGTCAAAATGAGCAGGACACTCCATCATACTGAAACCCCCCCGGGGGGTCGACGTAGAGAACTCTGCGAAGCTACTGGCTAGGATCTGTACCTAGGCAGTCTCGGCCACGGGGGTATAAAATTTATGAACTTGGTGGTTCTGAAGGCTCTGGGAATGGTCACTTATTGGCCGGCCTCGGAGTCTGGCACGTCCTAGCGCGGCGTGGTACTAGTAGCCCGGGGGCTCTCCCCCGGTTTCGCTGGGTAATGTCCCGCTTGGCTCCGCTTGGGCTCGCCCAAGCGACTGGTAGGAGCATTAGACGACCGGTGCTGCCTGGTGTCTTATCCAGGTGGTGCGCTGCTCCCTTGGAGGGTAATAGTGGAGGTTGAACCTCCACGACGTGCCCAAAGGGGGAGTAGACCTGTAGTGTGATTGAGTTCACGGGGCAGGGAAGCCTAAACTATCATACTGAAACCAGATGGTTCGGCGTCTTCGCACAAAATGTCCATAAAGAACTGAGTTAGCAAACCGAATCATCTTTCTCCTGCAACTTCCTCGCCTGAAATAAACACACTTACCACTCTTCCATAAGCCTGCGAACATTGCCCTCTAGCGGTCGCAGTTCGCATTTTCGGGCACAAATTCCTATGTAAATCTTATTTATCATGGTGTGATAGATAAATATGTTAAGTTTTGCAACTACGTTTTGCACACTCTGTATATGGTATGACACCAGCGTTCGAGGAAATTGATTTTTCAATACGTAAGTTGCAAGTCCTACTTTCTCACTACAAACAATTTGACTTCAATATTAATTATCTTGTTAGATAATATTATATGTATTACTCAACCTTATCCTGTAGCAAATTATTATTGTTCCTTTTTGTATTGATTGCAAAAATGCAACGATAATTATAACGTTTATTTTCCTTTTGGTTATTCCTAATACCAATACCGTGCACAGTTTTAAAAATTCATAACCAAATAAACTATCCCAAAAATACCATTTTATCAATAAGTGGTTAGTTTCAAATAATAACCTCATAACTCTTTTGCTGAGTAATTTAATAAGCGTTTAATTAACAAAGTGAGTGGTGAGACTTCATCACAGATCAAGAAATAAATACAAGAACAATTACTCTGAAGACTAGCTTGATTACGCTAAATGATTTCGCTCTCTTGTTTATAGTATGACTTTAATAAAAGCTGTAATACTATCATCTGTAATCTGGGTTATTCAGCACAGAACTCACTGGAATTTGATATTCGATGATTCTCAACAAACATGTGACATTTTAACCAGTAAATTTAACTTAAAATTCTCAAATAGTTAAATAATTGTTGTACTGCAATTAAGAAACCTTTTATTATGTCTACCTTTTATTATGTCTACTAACAAAAGTAAGAAATGCATTACTAAAACTAATCACGAATCAAAGAATAATGGAAAATTTCCGTTGCTGAGAGAAAAACTAATGGGAAACTGTTACTGAGCTAAAGAATAATGGAAAATTTCTGTTACTGAGGGAAAGAATATTTGAAAATTTCTGTTACTGAGGGAAAGAATAATGGAAAATGTCTGTTACTGAGGGAAATAATAATGGGAATTTTCTGTTACTGAAGGAAAGAATGGAAAATTTGTGTTACGTGAGGGAAAAAATATGGAAAATTTGTGTTACTGAGCGAAATAATAATGGAAAATTTCTGTTACTGAGGGAAAGAATAATGGACAATTTGTATTACTGAACGAAAGAATAATGGAAAACTTCTGTGACTGAGCGAAGGAATAATAAAAAATTTCTGTTGCTGAGCGAAAGAATAATGGAAAATTTTTGTTACTGAGGGAAAGAATAATGGAAAATTCCTATTACTGAGAGAAAGAGTAATGGAAAATTTCTGTTTCTGCGCGAAAGAATAGTGAAAATGTAGGATGTGGACATGAATTACCGTGAAATCTTAATGTGCATTTTTAAAACTAATTCATAAATCAAATCCTGTGGAAAAATCGCCGAATCATTTGTGTTTTACTTCATGCAGAATATTATAAGAATAATAATAACTAAAAAAAGTTTCAATAATCTATAATATAATAGATCTGCGAATGCGGATGATGCCTTTGACTCAAATATTCCAAATTCACCATCAAAATATTCAAATAAAATCATTAATCGCGTTTATTAAATTAATTCTTTGCAACGTTAATAGAGAAGCTAACATCTCGTTCCTTGTTTTGCAATATTACATTTCGTAATATAAATTACCATATTAAGACCAAAAAGTACATTTTCATATAATAACTGCACTTACCATCTTGTCTTTTGAGCTGCACAATATATCGTGTGAGAGGAAGATTGCCGCTGTAGGGCTGGATCCAAGTTAGAATCACAGTTCTGCTGGTCAGTTCTTTGATTTCTATGTTACGTGGGCTGTCGGGTCTCTCTAGAAAAAATTAAATAAATCAGCCATCTTCATTAGCATCATTTTTAGTCACAATGTCAGTTTTATTTATATTTAAGAATTATGGATAGCTATTATTGGGAATTTCTTATACTTGCCATCTTTAACCCTTTGCGCACAGTGTATCCGATCTGGACACACCTAAAATTTTCCTTCTGTACGCACAGAAAAATTGAATGAAAAAGGATTTATAGGTCACCATAGGTTACTCTGAACCTTCTTTGTTTATAATAGGTGGCAGCTCAACACAAACCAGTCCATATACTTTAGACATGTTTAGTTTTTAAAAATTCTCATTTTTCGAAGAAATCTTCGATTTTTTTTGGGTATAAAAGGAATTGTTTGAAAAGAAATTGCTATGTTATTTTTTGGCTGTATGATAATCTCCTTATTCTATATTAGTTTTAAATTTTTACCTTAAAATCTTGCTTAAAATCAAACGGCGAAGCCTAGGTGTGCCCAGACCGATCTCCCCGATCATCTAGGACAACTGAGAGTCTGTATTCTTTGTTTCTCCGCATCTCATCGGTCAGTTCAGTGACAACAATGTTCGTTTCAGCACTCTTTTCGAAGCTCTATTCGATCAGTGTACCCAATTTGGGCACACCCACAGAATTAAAACGATAAGTCCTATCTTCACAAAATTTTACTTGTGTACTCCTCTAGGCATAATTAGACTGCCTACCTTTTTTTTTTTTTTTTTTTTTTTAATCAAAACTCCGACTTTTAAAGGTAGCGTGCCGGTAAGGGTTAATAGTATTAAGATCCATTAAAATTTCTTGCGCCAATTAAATGTTATAATATCCCATAAAAAATAAAGGCGTCATAACTTAAATTTCATAAAGTAATATTCAACTAATAGAACATCAGTTCATTTTGATATTATTTAGTGCACAGATGGAGTTTTGAAACAATAGTTACAAAATACAAACTTTGGAAAATAATCCGCTCATCATAAAATTTCTAGAAATAACAAACAATATATCATTTTGTAGATTCATTAAGTTTTTGATGTTGGAGATGGGAAAAATGAGCAATGCTCTCGCCGGGATTGGAACTCTGGAACTCTCGAACACGCGTCGAATGTGCTTCCATTACATTACGAAAGCATGCAGAAAGGAGGGAGAAAATACTTTATATACTCCCTCTTTTAAAGGGCGACTGGGAATGACGGGATCCGGTCTCCAAATCTTGGTGGTGACGAATTATCCACCACGACATTTTAGTTCGGGAGCCGCAGTAGACATCTGTTTTGAAATTTTCGAAGTCAATAAACTGAAGAAATCCGCAATGCCTTAACCAGGATTCGAATTCCGGACATTCCGAATACTTGTCGATTGTGCTTCCAGTTATACCATGAGGAAAGGAGGAAGAAAATACCTTATAACTTGCTTAGAAAAGTAAACTAAGTTTCAGAATAAGAAAAGATTATATAACAAAAATAATATATTTCTCTGCCTAAATTATAATTTAGATTTCTCTGCCTTAATTATTTCTCTGTCTAAATTATAATTTAGATTTCTTAAAGATATATTTAGATTGTCAACACATCAAAAGTCACAGTAGTTTTGACGTGGTATCTTTAAATATAATGCCCAATTTCAATACTTCTGTCCATGAAAGAATTAGAAAGACAGTGAAGATGCGCCGATCATTTTTAATGAATAAGAAAATCTGTTTTGTTTGTTTATGCTTATTTTCTGTACAGGCTTACTAGTAACTGACTAATTGAATCTAAAACACTGGTCTTTTATCGAAGATTCTAATCCTGATGACTAAATGGACTGGCTGCGCTAAATATTTTGCTTATGTGTAATGTAAATGCCAACCAATTGCATTTGGAAATGGAAACCAGTACTTTTCTCATTAAGGAGATAACCTTCCAAAGCTTTGTCTCGCCCAAATAATGTAATGTACGCTTTCCGTAGCACATCACTTTAGAAAAATTGTCCGAGTTAATTCTCTGAATATTACTATATGCATTCTATCTATATTTACATTGTATCGGCGCTTTTTAAAATATTGTTGCGTTCTACGGGCTCATGGATTTGGAGTAATTGATAACACTTGATGAAGAATCGAAACACAGTTTATTCGCCAGTATTACACAGGACAGTTCCAAAGACACGTTTACAATCGTCGAAAAACTACGATAAACACGCTGAAACTCTCACCACAGCCTTTAGGCTATAACGGCGAAGACAGCTTTACGGCAAAGCACTGAAGTGGAGCTCTTAACTCGACCGATCGCTCTCAATCTAATCTCTGAACTCAAGACACTACAATACACTTTCTCCCAAAACAGGAAATGTGTATGTAGCTTTAACCTACCTTCTATAATATTCACGAAAAAGCCGCTAAGAATGCGTTCTAGAATGTTCTCCCTCCGTCTATGGCACATTGCCAATTTTGTTCCCAAATGAGCTATTTCACTCCAAATCTGGGAAACCTGCCTTTCCTTGAAACTTTCTAGCAGCCCTAAGCGGGGAAGCTCTCTTACCGCACTTGGGCATTTTGCAACGATATCTTGTTCAGTTCCACTTCAACGTCTGTAAATGTTACACCACGCCAACACAAAGGGAAAATTAGTACTGTAATTCAGGCCATTTCTTCACTGGATTTGTGATTCGCACTCAAGCAACACACATCCAAACCATATCACATAAGCTTCACTAAGTACAGTTCTATTTGAATGAATTAATTCTTTATTGATTTTCAGCCGCTAATAATGTTTATGCTATGGTATCCATAATAATTAAGATTAACACGACATCTCTTAGCACGAACATGTTTAGTAATGAATCTCTGTTTTTAGATAAAAATTATTTCTGTTAAACGAAAAAATTTAATGCAATGAGTTAATTTTACAAGTGCATTTACGAAATAACGCAAAATAGTTTTAATTATTCGTTATTTATTAAATTTGTAATCACCTTAGCGTTTAATTAAAATAAGTATTTATCTAATTGAAAAAAAAATATATTTCTTTGGATTAAGAAGAATTTTATTGTATCAAATAACTATTAAATAAACTGTTCTTTTAATTAAAAATTGCTATTTTACAAGGACTTTTCTGACTCATATTGCAGAGAAGAGTAATGAAGTGCATGTCTGGAATAAGATAGTTAGGATTTTTATTAGGGCGTCCTCACAAGCATCTTCCACTACCAGCTAAATATGTTAACTACATACTACACTATAACAGAGCGTGGTCAATTCAACAGACTTCAAGCAATGATACGGAAATGGTTATAATGAACTTAAACTGGAACAAAGTATCAGCTATAGAGATTATTTTATGAATTGTCTTATTAAAGTATGCTTTCTGCCTGGTCGCTAAGGCACAGCAAAAAAAAGCGAATTCTTTTAAAGAGCCAAAGAGCACAATTAGCTAACAGTATAAATTAATAATTTCAGGATAATTCTAGCATTTTTATGAATAATTTTTATTAAATATTCCATAATAGTAATAAACATTAAAAATTATTTTAATATATTTGTTTGCGATAACTTGATAAGATTTTAGAGAGAAGGTAAAGAAATTTAGCAAAAAGACGTGACTTTTGTAGGCAGCAGCAGGCAAAAAAGTGATGCGTAGGAATTGCAGTTGTACTTATAACCTTAAAAAGTCTTTTTTTTAATCTTGAGCAGCGATTAGGCAAAAGTCTGCTGTAGAGAAATATGATGTCATACATACGGCGAAATCAGCGCCCTCACCTGAAGTAGAAAAGTTTAGTTAGATGTTAGACGGAAATGGCACATTAGGCCATATCCTTTGATTTGTAGAATTTTCCATATTCCACTAAAGGGTGCACCGTAAATGTTACGACAAACTTCTAGGGAAGGTGGCACACCATAAAGATTAAGAATTGTATAGGAACTTATATCCGAAAATGTCAGGGGTAAGTGGTAGCAGATTTAGAAGATGGGAAAAGAAGCAAGAAAACATTTATTGGAATTTGAAACACTTATTGGACATGAATTTTCTGAGAGACATTCTTGACCGTATCAGCAGTGATGATCAATTTCTTCAGAAAATCATGCCTCTCTCAATGGGATATATGTGCGCCTGATTTCCTTTACGAAACATTCGCAGATCATTGATCTAGTAGGGGTGGGCCAATTTCATGGCCACCCTCAACTTCCAAATGTCACACCACCCGACTTCTTTACCTGGGGATCATTGAAGAACTAAGTATGTTGCAGAGATTCGCAGCATTGAGGAATTAAATAATCGAATCACCACAGAAACAGCAACTGTTCCACAAATAGTTAATAACATATGCAAGGAAATCGAGAACAGACTTAATATTCTTCGAGCTTCTTAATAATGCTTGTGTTGAAAGGTATTCTTAGAAGAGATAAATAAAATTCAGTCTATTTTCCCCTATCTCTTACTCTGTATTTCTTAAAACATATCTTTATCCAGTGAATAAATTATGAACAACTTATATAAATGTTTCATAAATGTAAATGAAATCTCTCTTTAATACAAGGAAGTAAAATACGTATATAACACTCCACTCTCTACACTCACAAGGAAATGATAAATGAAAAGAAGTAACATCTGATTGATGAACGTTTCTGTCGAACAATATATAGGCATGCAAGCACATTAGGAATCCAAACATCAGAACTAACAAGAGCTTCAGCTCCTTTAAGTATTCAGATAAGTAGATTTTTCGTTCTCGTCTATTAAGATCCACTTATTCTAACTGAAGCGCGGAAATTTTACATTTCACTTTATTGCAGTTAATTTTCAAAAGTGACTGCTCAGCTGAAAGTATATCTTTATTTCTATACGAAAAAATATAAAATACTTTTTCTCTAGAAAATTAAGCAATGAATTTTTTCCCTTCCTTATTTATCTTCTATTTTACATGTCTGAAGCAAAATTTTTTACTTAGATAGATTTTAAACAAAAACGCGTTGTTTATTGTTTAAAAACACGTTGTTTTTTGTTATTAATATATTAAATCGAA